GAGCAAACCCGGGCGGATGTGCTCCGACACCGCCGGCACCTGCAGCGTGGTGCCAGCTGGCTCGGACGCACCTCAGCTACCTGCGGCACGCAGGGCAGGTCAGGATGCCAGCCAGGGGCAGCAGCACCAGGAGCCCTCCAGACCCATTGCCTGCTGGGCCCCTCTGTGTGCAAAAACCATTTTGGTTACTTTTGTTGTCGGTGGAAGCCACAAGTTTGGTGACAGCCTTGGGTGTCCATGTTTTGTGTTGCTTTTCTGTTGCCACCCAAAAGAAAAAGAATTAATATTACGTGTACTTCCTTGGCAGCTCTTAGTTTTCCAAAGGTGTGACTGAGCCAAGGAGCAGTGTTTTAGATATTTAACCTTTTCTGCAACAGCTGTTAAATAACCTGGCACATCGTTTAACTTCCTACAGACCCTTTTCAAAGGACCAGAGGAATCGCCCGAATCCACCCTTAGAACCAGGTTCTAAGCTAGATGGTGTAAGTAGAAATCTTCTGAGTCCAGTTTTGTATTTCGCACTTGAAGTGAGTCTGGGCAGAACAGGGTACCCAAACCAGGGTGGTGAGTTCCTGACCCAAACGGGGTGCAGTCAGCGGATTGCCAAGTAGCCAGCAATAAGTCAACTAATCATTTTTCAGAGGAACTTGGTGTGGGAGACTCATCCTCTGCCCATGTGCTAGTGGGTCTTGTGTCATTGTTCTGTTGACAGCTGCTTTGTCACCATGAGCCTTCCCGTGGACATCCCCTGGGCTAGCAGGGCTGGGGCAGGGGCAAGCTGGTGGGTTGGAGGCAGCTGAGGTTTGCTTTGTCTCTCCAGGTTGACAGGAACAAGAAGGACGTTCTCAGAAACGTGCCAAAGGGTGCTCAGAGGGACGGCAAGCTCGGTGCCAAATCCACACAGCACACTGGCCATGCTGCTCAGCAGAAGTCTTCGAATACATCCCAGAGAGCGGCAGTGGTGCGTCCAGAGCAGCCGAGGAAGAGCACAAAGCTTTCCCAGGGGCTCGTGCCAAGCGTGAGCCGCTCTACACAGCCCAGAGGGAGGCTCCCAGCTTCAAACTCTGGCCACCCAAATCCAGACAGGAACAAGAAGCCTGCACAGGAGACTGTCACTGCTGCAGCACATCGGGCTGAAGGTGACCACCCCCCTCCGGAGGCACCTTGCTCCCTAAACGAGGGTCTGCAGGACAGGCTGGTCTGCAACAAAGAGAACATCCGAGCACAGATCTCTACATGCCCTGTGCAGAACAGAGTTTTTAAGTCTGATGGAAACAATCTCGGGAACAGGAGAGTCTTGGCTCCTAGGCAAAGCTCAGCTGCGCTGTCGAGAACCGTGACAGGCCCAAAGGACAGAATTAATAGCCACCGGGCTAAGGAAGAGCTGGTTCAGGGTACATTCAGCAAAACTCTGCCAGGCTCAAAGAGCACATTTCAAAAACCAAGTGTCAGAACTCAGCCGCTGCAGCCCCCTCGGTCACTTACTGCTTCTGCTCGTGTGCTCCATAAAAAACCAGGAGCAAACCAAGAGAAATCCAAAACAGCAGGGGAACCCCCAGGAAAGCCACTCGGCACACTTCCAGCAGGAGGCCTCAAGCACCATAGCAGACCCCCACAGCTGAAAAGATCTCCCACAAAGCCTCTAGCCCCCAGCAGGCCCCAGGGAACCACGAACCTGAGCTCCAGCCTGAAACCGGGTGGCCCAGCGCAGTGGCAAAGGCCCGCAGCTCCGGGGGGGGCGGGCAGGAAGGACATGAAGGCGATGCCTCCCGGGCACACAGCAGCATCCCGAGTGACAGCCCCCCCAAACCAGCCTTGCGGCACCCATGGCTCCAAAACTCGACCAGCTGAGAATGATGGGAGAGAGAGGTTCAAACCAGAGCTGCCAAAGGCGAGCGTGCCACAGGCCAGGCGTGTTCCCAAGACCCCATCAGCTGGGGAGCG